TCTTTTAGCATCGAAATTGCGTAAACATGGCCCGCTTAAGGACCAAACCCGCGTCTTTTAGCATCGAAATTGCGTAAACATGGCCCGCTTAAGCCCAAACATGGCCCGTTTAAGCACAAAGCCGCGTCTTTGAGCATCGAAATTGCGTAAGGATGGCCCGCTTAAGCACAATGTCGAGTCTTTGTAGACATGGTCCGCTTAAGGCCCAAACCTGCGTCTTTGAGCGCCGAAATTGTGTAAACATGGCCCGCTTAAGCCCAAAACCCCGTCTTTGAGCATGAAAAGTGCCGCCCGCTTTGACCAGCAAAAGATAGCGCAAACAAAGTTCAACATCAAAACTAGTTAAATATCAAGGGGTCAAATGCTCATGATGTTGTTTTTCTACATGGCCCGTGGCGCGGCGTGCTTGGAGTGGGAGAGTTGGATTTGTCATGCTTTCCTTGACAGGATTGTGCCAATGTAAAGGTTGAAAGGTTCCCTGATTTAGACTCAATGACATCTGACTAAATTTTACATTTCTACCTCTGCGCCTGCGTTCTGCGTGCAACCCTGATTGTCGAAATCGGGAAGCAAAGTGGGACAATTTGGACATGATGATCCATGACCTTGTGCTGACCTGCTGAAGCCAAGGAACACGAGCCTCGACTCAATTCTCAGCCCGACCTCGGGGAGGGATCCAGGCAAGGTGGGACGACCGTTGCCGTACGCGTGAAGGCAGCGCCCATGACCGACTTCTGTGGCAAAAAATGCCCCCAAACATGAATCAGTGGTGGGAACAGCTGATTAACTTTCCAACCAAATCGCATCAAGAGAAAGTGGTTTGAACTCATTTTGCTGGATGCGGCCTCCAGACCCATTCCAACAAGCCCCAGAGCTGCTCGCTCAGGTGTTGAGCATCCAAACGTAGCATTTTTTTTTGCGTCGACTTACTTCTACTCGCCCTCCATGTGAGAAAAAGAACCCTGTGGCTTTCTCTAAGGACTGGCGCATTGTCTTCTACATGTTTGGTTTCTTGCCGCAACAAGATCTTTCGAGTCTCAAGTTTTCTTGTTACTACTAGCTTCTTGTTACTACTAGTAAGGCACTTGTTACTAGTAGCGATGCACTTGTTCCTACTAGCTTCTTGTTACTCTCAAGTTGCAAGATCTTGAGGACTCAAGGGATCGAGAAAACCAGGCTCACGAGAGCTTGGAGTGACTCCTTGAGCCTTGTGATCCGTGTGAGCCTTGTGAGGCCCCTCTCAGTTGGGTCGTTTCTTCTTTTGCCTTAGGCGTTGTGGTCTATGTAGGTCAAGAACACAAAATGACCGTAAACTGAATGACTCATCCAAGAAAAGGTCAACAGTTTCTTCGCCACGCTTGGTGGGGCTATGTAGAAGGCCTTTGTTGGACATTGCAGATGATTCTTTTCAGGTCGACCGAGAACGGTGTGTTTCTTGTCACCGGTTTCCTCAGGTTCCGCCGGCGTTTTGTGGTGTTTGGTCTTCACTGGAATGGGTGCCGATTCACCGGAAGAGCATCGTCCCTCGGCGGCTTTTCCTTCCGATCTGATGGGGTGAACGGTCGGACTGGGTGTTCTGCATGAAGTGGTGTGTGCCCAGTGTGGCGCAGTAGGCTTTCATTCCATTTCATTTCACATGAGGTCATATTGAGTTATTGAGTTCATATGTGCAGCAATAGATGGCCTCCAATCTACTAGCGATGGCCTCCATCCTAATAGCTTTACTTCATGTCATTCCACTTCATTTCACTTGAACTTATGTAGATGTGATGGATGCTGCAGCAATTGACATGTGTGAATTTCACCGATTGTAGCCAGGGTGTATTGCGTACAGTTGATGCACCACCGCTGCTATTTGGCTGAACAGGCGCCTTGAGTCGATTCGCTGCTGCGAAAAGGAACCGTGCGAGAATCAAACTGGTAGCGGAGCAGGTTCTGAAGGGGCACCCTCAGGATCTGACTCACCCGGGGAGACTCGCTGGATCCAACCGTTGAACCCAATTGCGTGACCCTGCGCGCAATCCGTTGAACCCGTTGAACCGTTGTAATTCCAGTGCTTTGCGAAACTTTGTGAGTTGCGATGTCGCTGGCTGGCCTGCGGTACACATCCCATGGAGGAAGTATCTCAGGACCGCAGGAGACGAAGAGCGGATCATATATCTACAGTGGCAATCCAAATGGTTTCTTCGAATGGGAGTTTCGCACCAAGGTCCGCGTTGCTTTGTACAAGCAGAAACATGCGAAGAAGAAGTCAGAGAAGACCTATTCGAGCTATGGAAGCCAATCAGCCACACGAGAACGTTCTCAGAGGAGGCCGACTCATGCGACCGAGGCTGAGGATGTATCAGATGATGAGGACGTACGATTTGAAGCCTTTGGAACCCCGAAGACTGTGATCGTAGAAGACGAGGAAGAACCAGCTCTGAGCACTGCCGGACTGGACGATGATGGAGCAGAGTATGCAACACTTGTTCACAAAGTGTTGGAAGGCCTGCGAGGTGACGCATACCTTGCAGCTCAAGACATGGGATTGGGGAAGCTGTTGACTCCAACTGGCATCGATGAGTTGATTTCGCGTATCCGTGCGCAAGTTTTTCCACTTCGACAACAAGAAGCACGTGAGTTGTTCAGAGTGGGTCAACTCCCACATGGTCCCTTGTCTCGCCAATCGACAGAAAGCATGACTAGCTATATCTCACGAAGACGTCGTTGGTGGAGGAAGCTTTTGGAGATGGATGATGGGGTAAGTCTCTCAGACCCCATGCGTGGTGAGCTACTTCTGGAAGGCTCTGGTTTGAGCAAGACAGAACAGCTCATGATCAAGACAGCTGCAGGCGACAACCAAACTTTTGATGTCTACGCCAAATTCTTGCTTGAATTCCATGGACAGATTCACTTGCGCAGCTGGTCCGCTTTTGGCAATGCAAGCCCCCGGAGGCAGAAAGGCGGAGGCAAGTAGTCAAGCAAGTCTTCCTACAAAGGAGGAAAAGGACGCGGTTGGCAGAGATCCGCGTACATCGTTGAAGACGACTCATGGGATTATGAAGAGTCCTATGAACCAGAAGCAGAGGACGACTATGAGCATGAAGCTTATGTCGCAGCAGAAGATGAAGAACCAGAAGACGAAGAACATGAAGACTATGTCGAGGACCCTGAAGTTGCCACAGCGTTGATGGCAATGGGAGAATGTGATGATGAAGAGAATGATGTCTCAGAAGAACTGGGCAGCGCAGCCCAGCACCAGATGATGGCCTTTGTCGTGACTGACCAGTTGAAAGGCAAGAGCAAAGGCAAGAGCAAAGGCAAAGGCAAAGGATCAGGAAAGAAAGGTGGTAAAGGCAAACGAAAAGGCAAGTATGTGTTCAGGACACAGTTGAGCGTGCAAGACAGAATCGCACGTCTAGCAAAGTTGAAGGCAGTGTCCAAATGCTTGCGTTGTGGTGGACAAGGTCATTGGGCAGGAGACCCTGCCTGCAAGTTCCCCAAGCAGAACGACAAGTCCCCCGGAGGAACGTCGTCAACGAGCAAAGCCACAGCCTACTTCGCATTAAGTGATGATGAGTCTTCTGTTGAAGATGAGTACATGTGTGTTGATGTCAGTGGCCAGACCGCTGATAGCGGCACGTGCTACATGGCATACAAGATGTCCCCAAAGAAGAAGCTGGAGTTTGAACCGTCGGATCGTGCATCCATGTCGTCAGGAGTGACTAGCAGTCCGCCATCTAGCTTTTCGATGGTCGAGCCAAATGTCCGTCGGTCGCCGCAAAGGTCCCCGCCATCCATGCGTAGGAATAGAGACATGGAGCAAGACCTTTTGCCTGAAGGTTCACAGAGTGTCTTTGTGTTTGGTCAGCACCAAGGTTTGACATACCATGAAGTGTTGTTCAAGTACCCTGGATACTACCAATGGCGATCAGGCATTTCGCACCCTTCGCGTTGCTTGGCAGATTTCCTGACATGGGTGACCACATACTACGAAGTCAGTCCGAGTGGAGACGTGACCTTGAGAGAGCATCCCTTGACAGACATGCCCGAGGAGGCAGTCCGACGTGCCGGAGACAAGAGTGCAAAAGGGAAACCACCAAATCCCCCACTGGAGGTACCCTGCCGCTGTTGCACCAGATTCACGTTTCAAGGTTCAAATGCCTATGTTGAAAACAAGACATGCCTTGACTGTGGAAAGAGTGAGAAGAAGAAGAAGAAAGAGAGCAAGCCCGTCACCGATCCCACACGGTGCAAACATGAAGTCACGGATCGGCGAGGCAGCTCAAAGACCACATCTCGTTTGTACTGCAAGTTGTGTGGAACCATTGTCGACGAGATGCCCCGAGAAGAGGCGCGCAAGAGAGAGGCAATGGCAAAGAGCGTAGCAAGCATGCGTTCCAATGCATTCGACACGACTGCATCAGTGGTTGAACATGAGATCAACAATAATTCCTGCATGACACCCGAAGGAACACTAGAGATCATGGAAATGTTCAGACAGGATGTTGAGAGTGAACTGGAGTTAGGAGAGCCCGTGAGGATTGGCGTCCTGTTTGAGATCCTTGCCAATGCCGTGGAGTGCGTCAGAGAGGCCAGTCCGCAGACTTGCTTCATGGGACTTTTGTCGGATCTCAACGAAGCCACGATCGAAAACACACTTCGTCTTGTTGACATCATGGAAGACCCTGGAGTCTGGGCTGTGTTGGACGAAGGATGTAATGCAACTGTTTGTGGACAAGCATGGATCCAAAACGCCAAAGACAAGTATGCACGTCTTGGGTATGATGTAGCGGACTTGCAGAGTGACTCAAAAGCATTTCGAGGACTCGCCGGTGACACCAAAACTTTGGGCAAGTGTCGGATTCCCTTCGCATTGACCTTTTTGGACCCCGAGACGAAACTTCCGGGAGTCATGGAAACGCACGTTGTCGATGGAAAGATTCCATTGCTTTTGTCACAGCATGCTCAAGCTGCATTGCATTTCACGAAATCCATGGGAGATGCCAAGTGCTATGTAGGCAACGGAGAGCTTGAACTGTGTAGGGCTAGGAACTCAGGACTCCTATGCGTGAACCTCTCAGAAGGTCTCAAGAGTTTGAAGTCCAAAAGACTCCCCAAGCAACTCCGTGAACTCAAGAACACAGAGTTTGGTATGAACTTCAACATCCGCCCCACCGATCAGCTCACAGCGTTCATGGCAGACGAGGAACGCCCGGCAAGAGGCACTTTCACGCTTGATGATGCTTCTTGCGTGCATATTTTGACCTGTGGAAAAGAGTTCCTTGGGCAGATTGCCAGTTTCGACAGGTGCAAAAATATGGTGACCCTTGGGCCCATATTGTCAAAATTTGATCCTGGCAGGCGGCTACTTGTGGTAGATTGCATGGGATTTGGGGATCCCCAGCATAACCCGCAGCTGCGGGCCCACATAGGCAGCCACCCGGAGATCATTCGCGGCATGGTTGGAAGTGAAAAGACGATGGAAGCATTACACTACGTGCTCCATCACCTCAAGGAGAGCCACGAAAAGGGGCAGCAGTTGGCAGTTGTGGCCTATTGCAGGCGAAACCGACATAGATCGGTATCCTTTGGTTGGTTGGTCGCAACCGCATTCCAGAAGCTTTGCTCCGGATGCCACTTGACTTTGACCCACTCCAATCAGGCAGAGTCATGGAGCCAGATGAGTGGATCTTGCAAGGGCAAATGCGTGATGTGCAAGCATGAGTCACGCGATGCTTTGGAAGCAGCCATGAGGTCAAGGGACTATGTCTTGAAGCAGTTCGCCCAGAAGACCGCACCGTCGTATAACCAGGTGCGTCAAGTTGTGTTTGACTCTGAGATCGAGGCCGAGGACGAGACTGAGAGGAGGACTCAAGCCCCAGTTGACACTCGCGTGCTGCCACCACCGTGCCCAAAGAAGCCCCCCGTCATACGCCCTGCGGCAGTGAAGGCAAGCCCAGCAAAAGCACCAGCGCCTATGCCAAAAGGATCAGCCACCGTGTCCCACAGAGGACCAGGATCAGTGATGTCAGCGTCACCAGCTCCACCTGTTGCAGCTTCAACGCCAAAGGCATCGGCGCCCGAGGCACCAGCACGAGATGCAGATGAGAACCACTACAATGAAGATGCTGAAATTCGTCGTCGTGAAAAGGCCGAGACCTCGAAGCCAGCAGAGCCAAGGAGTGAATCAGTGCCTATACGAGTCAGCCTGATGCTGCAACACAGGCCTTGTTGCAGACCGTTGAATTGTTGACACAGCAGGTGAAGCAGATGCAAGAGCGTGAGAGAAGGAGATCAAGGTCAAGAGACCGATATCGGCGAGGACGATCGGACAGCAGAGAGCGCCATCGTCGAAGAAGGCGTGATGACAGCAGAGAGTATCGCCGTGGAAGAAGCCGAAGCTCATCGAGGAGGAGATCGCCATCCTTTGGTCGCATCCCAACGCCACCACAGGTGCGACCAAGGGAACCGGAAGGACCGCCACCCAGATGGCATCGCTATGGATCCGGCCGGGGAGCCAGTCGAGAGTCGGAAC